TCAAAGGTGCCACCCGTGCCGCTATAACGCGCCAGGTACCGCCCCCATCTTTATTGGGTGTCCGCGCATTGAGATCCACAGGGCCTGTACCGGCGCAGGTTGAATCGGTTGAATTCTGGCCCGCAAAAGCATTACGGCCTACGCGAACAGATGCTGTATAAGAGCAATTTGCGATGGTCAGGGTTACGGTATAAGTACCCGTATCACTGACTGTCTTCGTATCACCGGTACCTAAACCACGGTCCCAGGTATAAGTATAAGGCAATACGGACACCGGTATGGTGCCTGGATACCAATAGATAGAATTATAAGTCCAACTGGATGTTAAGACACTATTGCCCTGGGCACCTGTAACCGGATCCCTGGGAAGACAAGCGGCAGAAGCCCGGATCAAAGGGGCGATGCTAACAGCCTGATACCTTTGGATAGCCCGGAGGGGAAGTAATATAAGGCTCTGATCGCAAGGATTACCGCCATTACTAATCAGGGTATCTCCCACACGGGCAGCCGCATGTATATTTGGATCTATACAGGTAAATGCAAACTTCTCGCCACAGGAGTTCTGAGCAACAATCACGGAGCCTCTGCCATCGGGAGTGACTGCTGAATAAGTAACGAACCATTTTCCGTCATTACAGCCCAAAGGGGTGTTATCTCCTAATCCCCGAGCCAGCGGGCGAGTATTCACCTGGTTAAAGCTGGTGATGAAACTGGCAACATTCGGCCCTTCCATATCCCGGGTATAACGCTGGATATTGCCATCACGCGGCTGTGCATACAGTCCTGCAGCATAAACGCTGATCGGCTCCGTACTATCCATGGACAGAATACGCCCATCATCCAGATGAAGCTCCAGTAAAACATAAGAGTTATACTCCAGGTCCGGGATCTTAAACGGGCTACCACGTCCACTTACTGTCAAGCGGGTCGTACCTGTACCAGGATGATCCACCCGATACACGACCTGGGTTACCTTTCCTGCATATTCCGGCTTCAGATAAAGGTTAATATAACCATCCTTAGGTTGGTTAGCCCCAACCCCGGTATAATCACTGGCAGGATTGGAGGTGATCCGGTCAAAAACTGCGGCCTGGTTCATAATTGTCCCGGCTCGCGTGACCTGTGCATCCACCGGAAGGCGGATGCAAAAAATCAATAAGAGAAAAAATAAGCGGAGATGCTTGTTCATAAAATAAGATTTTAATATACCGTTGCTTTTCAGAATTACAGATTAGCATTTAAGCCAAGAGCAAATAGTATACCAAACCTTATAAACAATGAAATATTTATTTAATTCATAAAATATAAACCAACAGACTAGTACTTATATCAATATTTATAACAAACAATAATTTTATAATACAAAGAAAAGTCCATGAAATTTGACGCAGAACAAAAATTTTCATATAATAAAATATAAATCTATTATTTGAAATAAATATTGTCC